CGGAGCCTTGTTTCAAGTTCTTGTCTTTCCAAGGCTGAGCTCTCAGATGCCTAGGGCAAGGTGGAAACTGTCCATGGTTGTGGAGGAATGGCGAGAGATTTGAAGGATGAGCATTTGGCTTTTCTCTCTGTCAGGGACTGAAACATCCAACTTTGAGAGCCCCTTGGGGGATGACACCCTGCCTCAGGATGGGGAGATGCCAGAACATGGGGCAATGTATGCTCCTACGGAGGGAATGATGCTGCCAGAGGGAGAGGAGGAGGGGGGCTCTGGAAGCGAAGATGACCCCGAGGAAGAGGGGCTGTCAAGTCTGTCTCAGCCCTAGAAGAAGTGGACGAAGACTTTCAGTGTCCTAAGGAAGAGGATACAGTCAAACTGGAAGACATCCCTGGATGCAAGACCTGCCACTTTATTGTGTTGTGAGAGCCATGACATATGATGAAACTCAGGTGAGTGGTCTGTGCCTGAGGCTGAGACCTGGAGCGGGGAGGAGGGCATGGAGGGGGATGTCTCCGGCCTCTGTGTCACTGGTTATTTTCCTCACTGAGGACCCTGGGGGTGTCAGCAAGGGCTGAGGCCCTGAGAGGTGTTAGATGTGGGTAAGGGGGATAAGAGTGGTGGATCATGTGGAAACAGAAGTTATGTTTTGATCTCCAGTCTTCAAATGGCTGTGGGGTTGGGGTGGGGATTGGGGGATTGAACTGTGGAGACTTCGAGACCCTGGGCTAAGGTTGTGTGAATTCCTGTGGGAGGGGAGCTTCATTTTCCTCACCACAGTGTTCCACTTTCCTTGTAATTCATGCCCAGATCCTCCTTTCTCCATCAGCCTTCCCAGATCCAGGGCTGCAGAAGAAGCTCTGCTCTTTCTGGAGCTACGCTTTCTCTCGGCACTTTGCCTGGCACCTGATGTGGCTGTCTATGATACAATTGTGGCATTACCTCTTTATTGGCACCCTCAACTCTCTACTCACCACCTTGGCCAAGGGAGACAGGGCACTAGGTATGTGGTGGGGCTGGGAGGCATCCCATCTGTGCATCCCAGCTGGGGACTTGGAATCTCGAGGGGCGCGGGGTGCTAAGCCCAGTAGGGCTATGTGCTCCAGAGAAAGGTCTGAGCAGGGATGTGGGGAGGATGATCAGGGAGGGCAGGGTGGGTGGGTCCCCTCCTGTAAGGTAGTCCTGGAAATTTCTTATCTCTCAACCCTTCTCTGCCCTCTGCAGTCAGCATCTACACAAATGCCTTTGCCATCACTCAGTTCTTTGGAGTGCCCTGTGCCCCCTGGAATGGCCTGCTCATGGACCAGCTTAAACAGAGGTACCAGAAGAAAGCGAGCAAGACAGGTGAGACCTGGGCTTGGGAGCATCAGGGAACCAGGAGAGGAGAGATCTTCATTTACCTGTCTGCCCATCTTCTCTTTTGTTCTTAATCTTTTTCTACTTGCATCCATCCGTCTATCCCTCCATTCCTCCATCCATCCATCCATCTGTCTGTCTTACCACTAGTCACTGAGTGCCAAATATGGGCCAGACGTAGATCCAGATTCAACAACGGACAAGACAGATATGTCGTTGTTCTCAGTGTAGAGAGTGGAGAAAGGCAAGTCATTAGGCATTACAATCCAGGAAGGAAACCCACAGGGGGCTGTGGGGACACAATAAGGGCACACAGCCTGTTCCAGATGAGGATGAGATCGGTGCATGGGAAGGCTTCCTGGAGAAAGTGGCATCTAAGCTGAAACCTGAAGGATGAGTCAGAAGTGAGGAGATGAAGAGGAGGGCCCTGGGAGAGTGGCCCAAGAATACGGTGGGCTGAAGGTGGGGTCAAGGTTGTGAAGGAGAGAGGGAAACCTTGAGGAATCCGAGGAATCCCTTCAAGTGATTCAAGGACTGGCCGGTGGTGTAGTGGTTAAGTTTAGCACACTCTGCTCCTGCAGCCCGGGTTTGTGGGTTAGGATCCCAGGTGCAGACCTACACCACTCATCAGCCATGCTGTGGTGGCAACCCACATACAAAATAGAGGAAGATTGGCACAGATGTTAGGTCACGGCAAATCTTCCTCAGCAAAAAATTTAAAGAAAAAGGTAATTCAGGCTGGCCAGGGTACAAAGGAGTATGGAAGGGGTCAGAGAGAGAGCCATGAGAAGGGGCAGGCTGTGCCCCATGCCGAGGAGCTTGGACAAGCTCCTTGGACATGAGTCAAGGAACAGAGGGGTGCTGAGGTATTTTAACCTGCAGGGGTTGGGGATGGGGAGGGACAAAAGTAGAGAGTAACATTTCTCCTATGACTTTCATCTACACCCCTCCCTGACTCCCCTGCCCTGCTTCTCCTACCCTGCTGGAGTATTCTACAGCAAATCTCAGTCTTCAAACCATTTCATCTGTAAATACTTCAGGTTGTAGCTCTAACAGATAAGTCTTCTTTTACTTGAATATCACCATAGGATCATTACTACATCTACAAGAAACCCTCAATGATTTCTTAATATCATCTACTATGCAGTCTGCTCAAATTTCCCTAATTGTCTCAAATATGTCTTTTTACAGTTGATTTGTTCAAATTAAGAGCCACACAGGGTATTTGGTTGATGTGCCTTTTATGTCTTTGTAAACGTATAAGCGTCGTCTCCCACATGCTTTTTGTCCTTGTTTATTTGTTGAAGAAATGGGGTGGTTTGCTCTGTCACATTTCCCACATTTTGGATTTAGCATCCATTTGGTGTCATTTAAAATGTTTCTTTGGCTATTTTCTGTTATCACACAGGTTGGAAGTTCAAGGAGACTCAGTTTAATATTTTTCTCAAGAATAATTCAGAGGTGGAGCTGTGGGCTTCCTGTGGGCTCCTGTCAGCAGGCCCCTGGTACCTATTGTCCTGTTCTTATCATGTTAAGATTGGTCAATGGGCTCAGACATTGTCAGCCTCATCCAGTTATTATAAAGTTTCCCATCGACTGTGTGCCTGATGATTGTAGCAGCCATTGATGATCAATGCCTCGACCCATTATTTTATTATGGCTGCAAAGTGGTGATTTCCTGTTTCCATCTTTCCCTCTGCTTTCAACAGTGAGAATTCCTTTAGAAAGAAAAACTTCCCCTTATTAACTATTTTGTTACCCTGGCATAAATGCTTGGTTTTTCTTCTTTTTACCAGTTTTGATAATAATGAAGTGATGCCCTAGCAACCTTCAGGGGTGACTACTCATTGTTTCTCTTTCAAAGTCTCATTTTAAATGTACTTGATGTGTTTCAATCCATTTTCACCACGATTCCTTTTGATGTTCAAACTGCCACATCTTTGGCCATTGGGAACTTTACCAATCCAGTATCTGTGTCCTTTAGACATAATCCCATTCGTTTTAGAGAGTGTCTTTACTTTCTAGCACAATGGGATATTCACGTCCATCTCATGGGGTATGTTTCCGATCCCAGAACTGAAACCAGCCATTTCGCCAAGCAACGCTGGGTCCCTTTAATGGGACATGGTATTTAAAGACTGTAGTCTGGATGCTAGCATTTCTAATTCTCCTGGGTTGTCATTGCTTTTGGGCTTTGGATAGAGTTAAAGCACACATAATTTTTTGGAAGAAAAAATACATCATGAATGCCTAATAATGATACTTTAATTCAAATTTGACATTTCTATCTCTTTTTCTCTTCCTCTGGAACTGTTGGTTCTTAACAATACTATACAGACATACACTTGTATAGTATTTTAAAAATATGTTTTATATATTATCACTGGTTTTAGCAATATCGATACTATTAATAACAAGACTGTTGCTGAATGCTGTCCCTCTCTCTCTCTCTGTCCCTCCGTCCTTCCATCCTTCCTTCCATTCTCCTCCTTAGCATATGTCCCACAAGACGATGCACAGTCAAATTACTGTTTTAAGAATCACCAACTTGACACAAAGTTATGTTCATTGGTTTCATTTTGTTCCTGATTTTGGAGGATTGCTTTGCTTGTTCTCTTCCTATTATTTTAATTTAATTTTTAAATATTTGTATATCAAACATTTACATTTTCCCAAAGCCAAAACCATGAAACAGTATACATTCAAAGAAGTTTAGTTTTCCTCTCTGTTCCCTGCACCCTATTCGTTCCCTCTGTCTTTAGGCAACGATCTTTTTCTTAAAGACAGACTATATGGACATAATTTCACTCTCAGATAAAGGCCACATACTGCACGTGCTGTTCTGCAGTCTTCCTGCTATGTGACTCTCTGTCCCGAGGATGCTCCCCAGCAGGGCCTTCTCCTCACTCCTCTCACGCTGCCTAGTTATCCGTGACGGGGCTGCAGGACAGCCAAGACAGCTGTCCCTCCGGATGGCTGTTTGGATCGCCCCTGTCTTTTGTTAGTACCTGTCGTGCTACACAAAATGCCTGGCTGCAGGTTGCAAGGGCCAGAGCAGGTGGCCCTGTTAGGAGGCCATTGCAATTTGTGTAATCTGTGAGTGAGTGATGGTGGTTTAAAAGTAGGATGAGTTGGTGGGGATGGAGAAGAGTGGATACATTTGAATGATAATTAGGATGTGGATCATCAACATTCACTGATGGACTGGAGATGGGGCATGTGGGAGAAAGAGGATTCGAGGATGACCCCCTGGGTTTCTGCCTGGAAAGTTAGATGGATGGTGGCTCCTCCCTTTACCCAGATCTCTCTTGCCTCCTTCCTGCCCTCCATTGTGCCCGCCTCCAGGCAGCCTCTCCTCTTTACTTTTGGACCAGGTTTCTCAGTCTCGGCGGTGGCCCTTTGCTCCACGGTTCCTTCTCTGGCCCTGACGTCTCTGTTGTGCCTGGGCTTCGCCCTCTGTGCCTCAGTCCCTGTCCTCCCCCTCTAGTACGTCACCGTCATCCTGCAAGTGATCAGCAGCTCCTTCCTCTATGGGGGCAATGCTGCCTTCCTGAACCTTGTGTAAGTGGGCTTGGGGTGCATTACATAATGGGGGACACACGACGCAAAGGGAAGTGTGCTGGAGGTACAGAAATTGGGAGGCGAAGATGGGCCTGAGATGGTCAGGTGATGGAGACAGTGTCTGGGAGCAGGTGTAGGGGGTGGTGCCTGGAGGTGAGGCTGGCAGGAGGAGTAGAGCTTTCATGCGCCTGAGCCTTCGTATCAGCTCTCCCTCTGCCTCTTTTATCTACCTGGTGAATGCTTATTCACACTCCGAGGTCCACTTCTGTTCCAACATTCCCAGGGAAGAGTTGGAAAGAAAGTGTCTTCCCTTATTTGTGCTCTGGGCACTCTATTCTTGCTGCCTTTGATGGTGCACACATCATCTGGCATATAGTGATGTGTTTTTGTGTTCACCTTTTTCTTGCAACTTCCCTGGGATGCAGCGTGTGTCTGGGTCCTTGCTGTTTTCCCACTGTCAAGCACAATAACTTCTCTGTGTTCTGTGGTTTGAAAGCCTGACCAAAGGCAAAGGGGACAGGGCTGTGTGGGTGAGGGTGGGTGAAGGCAGGCCGAGGACAGGGGAGTTGTGAGCAAGTAGCTGACAAAGGCCCACCCAGATCAGGCCCTGCTTGGAGGGAGGGTCCCTGAGTCTCACTGGAACCCCATTTGTCTCTTTCCCAGTTTCCCTCCGGAGCACTTTGGGAAGATCTTTGGGCTAGTGATGGCCTTGTCAGCCATTGTGTCTCTGCTCCAGTTCCCCATCTTCACCTTCATCAAGGGCCCCCTCCAGAATGACCCGTTCTACGTGAGTATTGTGGGCCTCAGACCACCAAGGACACCCGGATCTGGGTGACTCAATGGGCACCCATCAGGGGGCGCCCCACATCTGGCTGAGGTATTTCCTGCAGAAACATTGCTGCACACGGGTACATCTTTGGTCTTACTTCTCAAACTGGGATCAGTTGGGAGCACCCTGCCTCGTGCTGTGGGTACCTGAAACCACAGGGTTATCATGGGGTGGCTGCCCAGAGGGTCCAGGTTCCTCAGAGACTTGGGGAGAAAATATTTTTCTATGTGTGTGGAGACAAGTAATCTTATTCTGGAGGAGAATGCAAAATCCTCACAATGATTCATGAAAACCTAAGACTTGAAAGATATTTCCTGCTTGCGACGAGCACAGGTGGACCTTGGTCTCGGCCCTAGGGATGCAACATGCATTGGATTCCACAGCTGGTCTGAGTGGCAGGAGTCTGTGCTCTCGCCCCTACATCCCCACACCACCAGGGATGCTCAGCCGTCCAGCCCTGGGAGGTGGGCATGACTCTCCATCTGTTTGCAGATAGGAGAAACTGAGGCTCAAAGATTTGGTTTGTGGGACTTCTATGTTCAGAAGCCCACAGCAAAGGAGCAGAAGTCCTTTGACTTTGAGTTCAGTGTTCTGACCATGGCACAGCCCTTTAGCCACATTTTGAAATGATCAGCAAAGTGTAGAACAGGAGTTTAAATCAGTCATTGGGAGAAAAAAAAAATCCGTGAAGTGAAAGACTGAGGAGAATTACTTTGTTGTGATATCGGAGCACCCTTACTGAATATTCAAAAGATACGATGTAGCTCTGGTCCCTCCGTCAGCTTCCTGTGTGGCCCTGAGCTGGTCACCGAATGCCGCCTGGGCCTCTCTTTCTTCATCCATGAATTGGGCACAATATCCCTCCCCACCTGGCACCACAGGGCAGAATGAAAAGTAACGCAGAGTCCTTCCTCCAGGGCACCAGAGTGTCTGAGTGAAAAGTGGAAGATAAACTAGGCAGAATTCTGGTCCCCTCATTGGTCGTGGGCACTGTTCAGAGTTCCCGGACTTCACCTCCCTCCTTCCTGTCCCTCTCCATGTGAACGTGATGCTGGTGCTCGTCACTCTTCTCACGTTCATTCACCCCTTCCTGGTGTACCGCGAGTGCCAGCGGAAAGAAGGCCCCCCTGCAATCGCTTAGTTCGGAAGCCCTCCATTTTTACCTCTGCGGATGCTTTTGCTAATCTTCCCCTACCTTTGAGGACCCCTTATCCAGGCAGTATTTGCTCACTCAGGCTACTTGTATTAAGCAGACATTACTTTTTCTTAAAAAAAAAAAGAAGACACATAACTGCTAGCTGAGACTTCTGATAGGCAAGAAAGGAATTTCAATGCCAAGCTGATTGATACCATACAGACCCAAAGCAAAAGCTTGGGGAAGTTCTCCTTAGTCCCAGAGCAGGAAGCACATGGCCTTGGTAGAGCCTTGACCCAAAGGGAGATGATGTGATGGGAGAGGAGGTGTGTCACCTGCTTCTCTAGGCCTCTTTGGCCCTGAAGCCCATGTGTGCCTGGACCCTGTACCGCCAGGTAAATTTCCAGGTGGAGGGTGAGGTTGTCATGGCCTCAGCTATGCCCCCTGGCATTTGGAGGTGGTGCCCAGCTCTCCCTCAAAGGCACAGCCTTGGTTAGAGAGTGGCAGCAACAAAGGCTTGTTTAGAGAGCCTTGGGAGAAAGAGGAGAGACGGGGTAGTGTGTGGGGGTCCCCTGGGCCTGAGATCCAGCTCCGCTACTGATGCTGGAGGCCCTTGAGCAGACCCTCATCAGTTTCCCATCTGTAAAATGAGAGGGTTCTGGAGCTGGAGGGTCTTTCTGAAGCTAACGTTCTAGAAGGTTTTAATAGGAATGGCAGAGAATCAGGCCACCCAGAGAGCCTTGGGTACCATCTGGCCTGCTCGACTGAAGGATTTCTGACAAAACCTCTTAGGGATGTTTTCCTCATCAAGAAGGGAGATGATGATTTACTTCGGGAATTGTATAAAAATGTTCTCGGGAGAAGAATTTTGTAGAACGATAAAGTCCTTCTGCTTAAGGCAACTACTGTTTCACCGTTTCAGGCTTTGGGGCTGTTGTGTGCGTGTGTGTGCTCCTGCCTCATGCCTCAGCTTCCTGGGGAGTGGACTCAGAAGTGGAGTGAGGAATCTGGCAGCAGCATCCTGATGTGGCAGCTGGACCCAGAGTGGGGTAGGAGACTTCAGACTGGTATCCAGCTACCTGGTTCTAGGATGGGCTTGAGAAGCCCCTCCACCCCTGCACCCTCACCCCCTCCCAGGAGTCCCTTCCTTTGCCTCCCCTTCCTCCACACCCCATCCCACTCCCCACCACAATACTCCACACCCCCAGCTGGAAGCACTAGATAGAATCAGAAGGGCCCCGGGTAGGTCTCAGTTCTGCCACCCAGCAACTGGGCAAGTCCCTTAACCATTCTGGATCACAACTTCCTCACCTGCAAAAAGCAATGAATCATTTCTATCCCTGAGGGCAACAGTGGGAAATTACAGTAATTGCTACTGCCTAGCCCATGGTGGGAGCACGTGCACATTTGTTCCTTCATTTCCTCATGACCAGAAAGGAAAGGGGTAGCAAGGAGGGAGAAGGGGAGGGACCGGGAGGGAGAGAGATGGTAGGTGGGCGAGATGGGACAATCTGGAATACAACAGGTGTTTTCTTCCACTTAGCCTGGAGAGGGGCCGGGAGAGGACAGTGAGGGGGAGGGGGCTGGCAGGCAGATTCATTCATCCAATCAGTCTGTCCATTAGCTAATGTTTATGGAGCCTCTACAATGCATCATGCACTGTCCTAGGTGCTGGGGATACAGAGATACACAAGGGGCTGGAACACAGGTCTTCTGTGAACTGCTGGAAGCGTAATTTCCAGGGGCCTGGGGACCTGGGTCTGAAGACAGACATCAGAGTGCTCGTGAACGGCTTTCATCTTGTCTTGCTCCAAAACTTTCCAAGGCTTCCTGCTGTCCATGGGGCAAAGCTCAGACTCCAGACTGGCATTCACGGTTCTCAGTAATGTGATTCCAGCCACTCCCCTACCTTCCCCACCCTCTTCACCTCCCACCTCCAGGAGGACAGAATTCATTCTTGTGGACCAAGGTTCCTGGTCTGGTCGTCTGTGAGAACACCAGTTCCTCTGCGTGATGGCTCTTTCCATCTGTGCCGGGGAAATCTGCCTGGTCTACTGGGGTCCTGTTCAAAATGCCATCTTCTCTCAAAATCTTTCCTTGGACTCTCCAACAGCTCTGAGTTCTCGGCACTTGGTCATAGCCTTCTTGGTGACTGTCACCTGCCTCCTTGCACAATGACCTCTCCTCACCTGGACAGCAAACTCCAGGAGGCGGCATATGGGTCGTTCCTGGCTCAGTGACTAATGTGTGCTGGCTGCCCATGTGGTGCCTGTTAGGGCTTGTTGAATGATTGATCACTGAATGAGTGAATTCTTTCTTGTTCTGGCCTCAGTGCCAACTGGAAGGAGACAGCAGAGCACATGGGGAGAGATGTTTCCTGGTATTCCTTGCATAAGTTGGGCTCTGCAGCATGCTACTGGGTGTGGCCAATGCTATGTGGGAGGAAATGATGTAAGTCTCTCCCAGGCCTGGCCTTTAAATGAGCCCCTATGATCTTCCCGTTCTCACTGTCCTTGCCACAGGGATCTGGGAGTTCATGTGTCCCTGAAGGCATAGCTACCTGATGGAAGGGGCTGTCTGACCTGCTATGTGTAGGAAACCTTGAGATTTCGCAGCCTACTTGTTACTGCAGCAGAACCGGGTTTAACCCAACACATATAGAAAAGAAGGTGCCAAGGAATGTCCTAATTTTTCCCGGACAGACATAGCACAGAAGTCAGGATCCCAGCCACCAGAGCCACAAACCTCTGTGTCTGAGTCCCAGTTCTACATTTCAATGTTTTTAGCCTTACTAAGCCTCAGTTTCTTCTTCAATAAAATAAAGTTGAGTTAGACAACATCTGTAATGCATTTAGCCCACGGCCTGGCAATGGCACGTTGTCACTAAATGTTTGCTTTTGTGCGGAGTCATTAAGGAAGCAGTGTAGTGGTAGGAATGAGCATTGGTTCCAGTTTGAATTTCCATGTAGCGCACATTTCTTCTTCTATGAAATAGGATTAATAACAAACCACAGCAAGTTCACCAGGGTTGGTGAGTGGGTCCATGTGATTATGTTGCTGACTGTGCTGGGGACACCAGGACACAGGAGAGACAAGTTAGCTATTTTATTAGTACTGATGTCAACCCAAAGTCTAGCACACAGAAGCACTAACTTAGTTCAGCTGTGGGAAGATAGTGTCAGGCTCACACACACGGGTTCAGGCCAGGAGGGGCTGATGCACCCGCAGGAGGACCAGCCCAGTGTCGAGAAGGGGAGGGCTGGGGGGGAGGGCTGGGAGAGAGGGCCCCTCCAGGACACCGCTGCCTCCATCTTCTCCTCAGAAGGAAAGTCCTCAGAGAAAGTCCTCAGCCCCAGCCCAGGCTCCTGAGAGCTGGATTCACCAGGAATGCCTGTGGGCCTTCTGGTTGGAGAATGCAGTGCTGTCTTCATTGATGTGTCCACTGAGATGGGCCTTATGTGTGGGAATCATACCCTTTGTCTCCTTGTGGTGGGATATCATTGGTGTTGGGCCTTTGCAAGTGCCCACTGCTTGATCGTCCCAAACTACTCCCAAAGCTGCCCACACCCCTTTTCTATGCACCTTCCTTTAAGGGGCCAGCCCTCATCTACAGTTAAGTTCGTTTCTGCTAAGTCCTCATGATCATGCCCACACTCCAACTTTACTGGAGGCAGATTTACTGTGAAGCTAATGAAACGTACTTCAGGGTTAAAATGTCTGTGACAGTTCACATTCCCACCAATAAAGCAGGAGAATCATGCATTTTGCTCAAGCTCCCAAGGAGAGTCTGAAATTCAGTACAGGATAGGAACCACTGGCCCTGAGACATCTGAGAACGGCCCCCCAGGTTCCAGAAAGGGGTGACAGGAGAGTAGCTGGAGGGTAATCAGTGGTCTCCCCAAGGAAGTGAAGAAATGCATGGTTCTTATCAGCCCTCCCACCTCCCTCAGGCTGTGGCAAACCTTCCTTCCTCTTGGGAACTTCCTCCAAAGTCCCTACATAAAATGTCACTGTGGGATGGAGAGAAGGAAGATCTGGGATTTGGGAATTCCTCAGGACCCGGGAAGACTTCTGGGCAGGTGAGTGCTTTCTGGTGTAGTGGAACTTATTCCAGGTAAATGTTCATCTCCTGGGAGACGTCTGGCCTGGGCTGGGAGGTTCTGGAGGGCTGGCTGGGATTGTGTATGGCTGTCAGGTTGCATGGGTGTCGGCAGACAGAAATTCTCATTCTCTACCTTTCACATTCCTCCTGAGGTATGCGAAAGCTCTCCTTGGTTGGGGAAGGCAGCGATGAATATGTGGTTTTTTGCACTTTGAGGAGGGAACCAACTTTCTAAGTGCTGTGTGGCCTAGGAAGGCCAATAATCATTGTTTCTGGATTCTCTTTGTTTCATAGACTGTGAGGGGCTTATTAAGTGCAAAACAAAAATATTATTCCCCTCTTCACATTCGGGTCCACAGGAAAGCCAACCTTGTCTGCCCCCCATGGTTTGCTTCATTATATTCAGAAAGAAGTGCTAGCATCCTGGAGAATCAAAGGCTGGGCTCAGCATTAGCTTTTCTGGCCCATCCTGGCTTCTATTCATGCCTGCTGTTTCTTTACCTCACTCCCAATGTCCCTAATGGTGCGGCTGTGGTGTGTGTGTGTGTGTATGTGTGTGTGTGTGTGTGTGTGTATGTGTGTGTGTGTGTGTGTGTGCGTGTGTGTGTGTGTTTGACAAACTATGTTCCCCACTGCAGGAAAAAGCCAAGATGAAACTCTCCCTACTTCTGGCTGTTGTATTTGGGGCAGTTTCAGCTCTTCATCTGGGTAAGTCTCCTTAGTCTTCAGTCTTTCTTTCTCTCCTCTGCTCCTTTCTAATGTATGTAGGGTCGGAGTCACAAAGCCACCTCTTTTGCTGGCCATCCTCTATTTTCAGATGTCTGCATTTAAAGGAACAGAGACTGTAGAACCTGGAGTTAGAGGGACTCCTCGGGGCATCTGTATATCTGCAGCCTCATTTATACTATGACTTTCTCAATTTTGTCCTTTATCGGTAATGTCCATGATGATCACCATAATGACTTTCTTTTACTTTGAGCTCACCTAGTGTACTGTGCTAAGCATTTTCTATGCATTATCTCCTTTAATCCTCATAGCATCCTCATGAGGAATGTAGTATTGTATACCCATATTGCAAATGAAGCAAAGCTAGTAGATGATGGAATCAGTACCCAAACCCACAGTGGCCTGATGCTAAGTCCTTGATCTTCACCTCTGACCTCATGTGGGAGGCTAGGTTGTCCTCATGGAGGCTTGGTTCTAGGTTCCTCTCTTTCCAAGGCTGAGCATTCTGATGGCTAGGGCAAGGAGGGAATGGTCCATGGTTCCGGAGAGGAACAGGAAAGATGTGGGGGTGTGTAGTTGGACTTTCTGTCTGCCAGGGACTGAAACGTCCTACTTTGAGAGCCCCTTGGGAGATGAGATTCTGCCTTGGGATGGGGAGATGCCAGAACACGGGACAATGGAGGCTCCTATGGAGGGACTGACCTTGCTGGAGGAAGAGGAGGAGGGAGGCTCTGGAGGTGAGGATGCCCCTGAGCAAGAGAGGGCTGTCAAATCAGTCTCAGCCCTAGAAGAGGTGGACAAGGACTTTCAGTGCCCTAAAGAAGAGGATACAGTCAAACTGGAAGGCATCCCTGGATGCTAGACCTGCTGCTTTGTTGTGGTGGCGAGAGCCATGACGTTTAGTCAAGCTCAGGTGAGTGGCCTGTGGTTGAGGTTGAGGGCAGGGGTGAGGAGGAGGGCATGGAGGGGATGTCTCTGGCCAATGTGCCACTGTTTATTTCCCTCACTGAGAACCCTGGGGGTGTCAGCAGGGGCTGAGGCTCACAGAGGTGTTAGAGGTGGGTAAGAGGGGCTAAGAGGTGAGGGTCAAGTGGAAACAGAAGTTACATTTTGATCTCCAGTCTTCAAATGGCTGTGTGCTTGGGTTGGCGAGTGAGGGAATGAATTGTGGAGACTTCAAGTCCCAGGGCTAACGTCATGTGTATTCTTGAGGAGGGGCACCCCATTTTTCCTCTTCTATCCTGCCTTGAAGTATACTTGGCAGAGGTGCTACTGGGGCAGACTCGTCTCCATCCATAACCTCATCTTTACCTACCACATCCAGTGCTCAGCCAGATGTGTCAGCCAGGATCAAGTCTGGATTTCAAGCATGAGCACAGGCTGGGTAAGAGGGGTCTCAGCCCTAAATGGGGAGCCCCTTCTGACCAAGCCAGTGGTCAACTTGCTGCAGATTTCTTTATGCTTCTGCTCTCTGATCCCCTGAAGAACTGGGGAGAGTTGGACACCTGGGCACGATAGCAATTTGGCTGCCTAGGCATCGGGAAGAGCCAAGGCTTTAGATGAGTAGGTTTAGGTTCAAGTTCTGCTCAGCCTCTGACTGTCTGTGTGACTTGGGCAGGACTATGAGCCTGGGTCCTCATCTCTAGAATGGGGTTGAAACTCCTGTCCCACGTCTTGTTAGGGCCAGAAGGATGAGTGTGTCAGGAGGATGCATAGAATGTGATGGTGCTGATCACTGTGAATTAACATTTTGTTTGACCAGGACTTTGTCCATGATGGTCCAGTAGAGAAGGCAAATGGCCAGCAGGCAGCTGGAGGATCAGAGAGGGACAGTTCCAGCTCTACCTACCTGCTTTCCCTTTTCCTCATGCTCCTGCCCACCTTCTCCCTTCCTCTCTCCTGTAGGGCAGCTGCCGGCACTTTTACTGGGTTGATGGCAGTGCCTGGAAGATTTGGTACTGGGCTCTCTGCCAGCCCCTGGCCTCCGGTGGCAGCTGTGTGTCCATGTGGAACCGAGGTGATGTGGAAGTGGGGATGAAAGATGACAAGGCATGGGAGGTGGGAGGGGCTTATGGAGTTGGTGCTAGGAAGATCTGGACCCTCCAAGGGAGAGGCCTTCTGGATCTTCAAACTTCATTTCCACTGAAGTGTGGGGGCTGCTGGAATGTCTTGGCTTTGCAGGTGTCCTCTTCGGCTTGGCGTCGCTGGTGTTTGTCTTCAAGACAGAGCATTACTTTGAGGAGCCGTGTCAACCAAATGCCACGCTGACGGGCAATGCCACGAGACAGACTGGTAAGGGAGTGATGACTTCTCTAGGAAGCTGAGGCTGTTTCTCACTTGGTGGGAAGGGGTAGAGAGGACTCCATCCCATGCCCACCCTGCCAAACTTTCTACAATGAGAGAAAGGGGGTGTCAGCCTCCCCTGTCCCCTAACCCTCAACCTCAGTCTAGGAGGTGCCTGGAGAGGGAAGTAGTAGCTCCTGAGGGGTAATTAGAGTCAGTCACATTTTAGCTCACTGAAAGGAGAACTTTCTACCAGCCGGCTGTCTAAGACAGGACAGGCTGCTCTGGAGGGGAATCAGGCTGGGAGCCCACCTGGCAAGAAGGCTGGGATGGATGGGAGGTTGGCCTACCCACTCTGGCTTCTGAGATCCCCCTTTCTGGCCTCCACACTGCAAAGCCCAGGATGAGAAGGTCTCGCTCATCTTCACCCTGGCATCCTTCATGAACAACTTCATGACGTTCCCCACCGGCTACATCTTTGACCATTTCAAGACCACTGTGGCCCGCCTCATAGCCATGTAAGTCCCAAAGGCCCAGTCTGGGTGGAGATGAGCAAGAGGAATTCTTCTGGCATTAGCCTCTCTTGGAGGGAGTTTCGGGCCAGGCAACTGGGCAGCCCCGCCAGGCACTGCCTCAGCAGCTGTGTGAGAAACAGCCCAGAGTGTGAAGTTGGCTAGACCTGCTCTCTTTCCACACCCCTACTTCCCTTTCCTTGCCTCCTTCCTCTGCTAGGTGTGACTGTGTGTTCTATATGACATGCTTTCTGTGAGGGCTGGCCTGGGGCCGGGGTTATGAAATTAGCAAAACCTAAAATTGTCACTCTGCCTTCATCCCGGGGATCCTTGTCTATAGCTCCTACAAGCCCTCATGGCCAGGTTGCTCAGACTTAATTTTCATCTTCCTCACCCCCCGTCACTCCCCAGAGGCTTAGCCAGTGAGGTCTCCTGGCACCTGCAGTGGTGGGATATCAGGGCCCCTTGGGCTGGAGGGAAGACAATGGGGTTTCCCATGCAGATGAGTCAAAGAGGCCAAGGGACTTGCTCTCGCTTATCCAGGGTACCACTCCAACTGGCCTGGGTGAGTGATAAGCAGTGCCCTGCTCGGAGCTGATAGAACCCAAAGCAAGCAGCACCTGGCATGCTTGTGAGAGATTAGTTGTCAGAGGGACTGGAGGGCCGGCTGGGCCAGGAAATAGCCAGGTCCCTTGGTCTTTAAGCGTTTGGCACATAATGACTTTATCTCGTCTCTCTTGGTGTTTGACTCCCTCTCCTCCTCTTCCCTCTCCTCCCTCTTCTGCAGCCTCCATGTGTTAAGAAAAACTCAGTCTTCCTTCCTGTGTTTCTCCTTTACTTTTACACATAATACTTCACACCCAAATGTGTGTGTGTGGGGGTTGTTCCAACACCAAGCCATCCTGCGACAACAGCTGGGTGACCTACAATTTAACTCAATTCTGACCTCATCTTCCGGGAGATAGAGTCAGATCCCACAGGTAAGGGCTCAGTCCCACGAAACTGCCCCACTTCAGACACCAGTCGCAAGTGGTGTGTCCCCTGGTTACCCACAACTTCTGTCTGACTTGGCCACACAGCGGAGGTTCCCATGACCTCCTCCCCCTTGGGTTCGATTATTTGCTAGACCAGCTCACAGAACTCGGGGGAAAACTTACTTACATTTACCAGTTTATTAAAGGATGTGATAAAGGATACAGATGAACGGCCAGATGAAGAGATATGTAGGTGAGGTCTGGGAGGGTCCTGAGCCCCGGAGCTTCTGTCCCTGGGAAGTTGGGGTGTGTCACCCTCCTAGTATGTGGATGTGTTCACCAACCCAGAAGCTCTCCGAACCCTCTACTACAGGGGTTTTGTGGAGGCTTCCTCAAGTAGGCATGACTAATTACTTACTCCGTTTCCAGCCCCTCTCCCCTCTCTAGAGAAGTAGGGAGCGGGGTTGAAAATTCCAATCTTCTAATTATGGCTTTGTCTTTCTGGTGATCAGCCTGTTCCAGGAGCCATCCAGGAGTCCACCCAGAGTCAGCTCAGTAGAACAAAAGATGCTCCTAGTGCTCTTATCACTGAGGAATTTGAAGGATTTTAGAAGTCCTGTGATAGGGACTAGGGACAAGGACCAAATAGACATTTCTTATTCTAAATCACTATATCACAATTGGGCACTACTTTTATTACCCCATGTCTTATAAGACCCCCAAACGGCTGGAAGATCCCCATAACCTTTGGATTGTGGTTCTATAATCACAGAGCCCTAGAACTTTAAGCTTGTGTTCTAGGTCAGTCTAATCATTTCCTTTCATAGAAAAGGCCACTGAGGCCCAGAGAAGGGCAGTGTCTTGACCAAGGTCACAGAGCGAGTAGGAATCAGGACTGAAAGTTTTGATTTGTAGACCAGGCACTAACCCCTTTCTGCAAAAGATTGGCCTGTTGGGACTCCCAGGTGGGAGGGCCTTGTCTCCACCCACTTTGCCTCTTGCCAGGCTCAGTAACCTTCTCCTGAACTCATTGCATCCTTAGCTGAGTTCACTGCCCTGGATTTCCCAGTCTAGCTTTGGACCTTGAGAGGAGCAAAATACCATCATTTGTGAGGTCAGGGCCACCTATCAACCACATCCGGGCTTCTGGCACCTGGTTCTGAGCCTGGGGCTCCAGAGGCATCCATGCCCATTGGACCCCCAGGCTGAGAATGTACTCTAGTGCCAAATTTGGAGATTGGGTGAGTAGAATTCTCGGTTTTGTCCCCCAGGTTTCCTTTTTCTTGACAACATCCACCATCCTCTGTTCTGTGTTTCAGATTTCTCTACACCAGTGCCACGCTCACCATAGCCTTCACCTCTGCAGGTGAGTGCTGTCGGGGGGGGGAGGGACACAAGCTCAGGGGCACCTGCTGGGTGGGCAGTTGCCGAAGGTGATGGACAGGACACACTGACCCCCCACGGTTATCAGAAAGCCACAGACTTTGAGCTTGAAAGAATCCTTGAGAGAGTTATTACTGGTCTATGAAAACAGTTTCACCTAGCGAGAAATGCAAAAAATAAGCGCAATGGAGGGATTGCCTCAGAGAGAAGAATTTGTTCCAAATATTACATCTTTCCTCTTGTATGTATTAACATGTTCTCTCTCTCTTATTTCAACGAAGTGATAATATGAATGACAGTTGCTTTTGAAAATATCCTTACTCAGCAGGGTAAAACTTGACGATCCTAGGTAGTCAAAAGTTTTCTTTTCACATTTACTGGTCTATAAATGTATGAAATTCCCAAAGTCTAGGAATTCCAATCTGGTTGATTCCTGCTTTCTCCCAGTATGCAGAGGAGAAAACTGAGGCTAGAGAGAGACCCCTTGCAAAGACTTGCCCAAGGCCACAGAGCAAGTTAGTGGGAAGTGGGCTTGGGGTCCCTGGCCGTACCCTCTCCTAGCATCTTGGTTATGCTGGCCAAGAGATGCCTTCTAATATTTCTCCCCAGCGTCAGATCATGTGGCTCAATTTTGGGGATAGGAAGTAAAAGTACATAACTCTGGTGTGTGTAGTCCTTTGCTGAAGCCGTATGGCATCACGAGGTCGTCTCCGTTTGTGCTCCATAAACGCGGGCTGAGCGTCTTTGATCTCATGAGATAGCCTGGCACCTCAAGCCAGTTACTTAAAACCACTCTCCTCATCAAACCCGCTTTATGTTATCTTAGAGCCTGTAAATGATTTTCAAGTGGCTGAATGTGGCCAGTGGTGGGTAGGTATGTGTGACTCACCTTGTGAATCATTTGATCACCAGTTCTCCCTTCCTCCATAAAACGGGGCTTTTTGTTTTTGGAAAAAGTGTTGGGGCCACAATGACACACTTGTGAAAGAATCTCACCCAACATTAGGAGAGAGGTACCTTTTATAAAGACAGAAATTGAATGGTAAATAGCGTGAATAGTCTACAGTGCTTCTCAAGGTATAGAACAATAGTTAATTCAGAGGACATTAGGAGGCACAACCATGCCACTTTAAGCACTGAATCGTCTGGTGGAAAAACCATTCTTTTTTTATTTCTCTTTCAGTCCTCTGATTTCATGAATGAAAGTCTTGACATGGGGCCGGCATGAATTTAACACTATGGCAGGAGCAGGTTTCAAGCTTGGAACATTCTGAGGGCAACTGCATCTAGTTATAACTTAATAACATTGTTTTACTTTCATTGTATTTATTTTTACAATTCCTTTCTATTCTTAACAAGCAACATGAGTTGCTTTTCATTTACAGTAGTGATACAAAGTTTCCTTTAAAAATAATAGATTTCTTTTGGATAAAATGGAGTCAACGTAAAGAAAACATTTTAGCAAATAATAGGATGGGCATGGGTTATGCCCAAATCAGAAAAGTGGGCAGAAGTCTGTAGTTTGGGAAAGACTAATTTAGTAAGGGCTCCAAACTCCTGGCATTTTAGTTCTGTTATCATCCAAACTTTCCAGACCTATCCTAGTAGTTTGTACCACTCGTAGAAGAATCGCTTTCCAGGTTCTTCCTCCTTCCCCTGGATGTGCTTCCCTTTCTCTCTTCCCTCTTTGGAGTTGGAAGGAGAGAGAGCGTGCCAGAGCAGGAGCTGGAGATCTCCATGTAATCTGACCTTGCTGCTGCTTACCCTGACCTTGAGCAATTCCTTGTACCTCTCTGGACCTCAGTTTCACCCTCTGTAAAGTGGGGAGGTTGGGCTAGATCAATGCTTTTCAAACTGGGTGTCGAGGAACACCGAGGGGTTCCCTTTGATGTTATGTTGGTTACGAAGGAGAATAAGGGGCAGGATGACCGGGCCACTCCCCACTGATGTGTTTCATAAGTTGAATTTCTGTGTAAAGTTTTGTTTGAACAAAAGGACTTTGCTGCCATTAAAAAAAGAAAAAAGCACCAGGGTGGAAGATCTCTGAGAAACTTCACTAGGAGGCTCTATAAGGCTGTGGGGATGGATAATACGCTGCCTCCTCTGCTGCTGGTTGGGCCCTGGGGTGACAGGGACGCTATGTGTGTACGAGGTGTAATTAATTAGCTTCCAGGGTGGAAGGCAACAGCCTGTACCAAGACTCATTCTTAGAAACTGGGGTTCCAGCTCCTGCTTCTTACCTGGACTTTTCTTTGGTGTGGTAAAATATATAGAATAAAAGTTACCATCTTAACCATTTTTAAGTGTATGGTTCAGCGGCATTAAGTTCACCATATCGTTAGGCAAGCAACACCACCGTCCATCTCCAGATGGAACTCATTTCAATCTCGTGTAACTGAAACTCTGTCCCCATTAAACACTAACTCTCCAGTATCCCACCCCACCCAGCTCCTGGCAGCCCCACTTCTACTTTCTGTCTCTGTGAATTTGGCTACTTTAGGGACCTCCTACAAATGGAATCATGTCGTATTTATACTTATATAATTGGCTTATTTCACTTAGCATGATGTCCTCAAGGTTCATCCACGTTATAGCATGTGTCAGAATTCCCTTACCTTTTTCTTGTTGGTGAGGAAGATTGGCCCTAAGCTAACATCTGTTGCCAATCTTCCTCTTTTTGCTTAAGCAAGAGTGTCCCTGAGCTACCATCTATGCCAGTCTTCCTCTATTTTGTTTGTGGGACGCGAAAACAACATGGCTTGATGAGCAGTGTGCAGGTCTACGCCTGGGATCTGAACCCACGAACCCCAGGCTGCCAAAGCAGAGCATGTGAACTTAACCACCATTGCACTGGGCTGGCCCCTACACTGACTTTTTTTCCCTCCGTTATCTGCAGCTCCTTTATGAACAGGGCATCAGCCTCAGGGCCTTCTTCCTCTTCTTCTCTGTCTTCAGTGTCTGGCATGTTGGGCGCACTTTCCTCCTGCTGCCCCGGGGGCACATCCCCTACGCGCTGCCCCCAACTACCGCTATGGGTAAAGACTATGATCTAGCGATTGTGAGCCAGAGCCCCCCATGTGACCTGGGACGGAAGCAGGGGATGGGAAAGTCGTGGTCACAGTAGGGCAGAGGAAACCTGTCACAGGAGAGGAAGACCAGAATGGGTGTGTCAGTTGGCAATTGCTGCATAACAGACACCCCAGAACTCAGTGGCCTGAAACCTTAAGCATTTATTACTTTTCTTGTGTCTGTGGGTAGCTGACGAGTTCTACTGATCAGGGACAGACTGGGATGATCTTGACAGAGCTCATTCTTGCCTCTGATCATCTAGTGGGATAGCTCGGGGCTGGCTTGTCTAGGATGACCTCACTCACACGAGTGTTTTCTGGAGGTCATTGGGGGTAACAGGGATGTCTGGGACACCTGGCTCTCATCCTCCGGCAGGTTGGCTTGGGCATGTCCATGTGATGGTTCCAGGGTTCCAAGAGAGAGAGTGCAGAAATGCACGAGATTTCTTAAAGTTCAGGGCTTTAATTGGCACAGCATCATTTCTGCTGCATTCTCTTGGCTGAGGCAGCTCACAAGGCCCAGTGCAGATTCAGGCGATGGAGAAATAGTCAGAGCTGCAAAATTCCATCGCAAAGAGTGGAGAACAGAGGAAGTGAAGAACTGTGGCCCTTTTTGCAGCTCTTCCCCACAAGCAGTAGAGGGAGAGCTTTCATTTGCTGCTGACTTACTATCTGCCAGATCCCAAGTGCTCTCTGATTTCATCTCACCATGATCCTCTCAGATAGATAGCCTTATCTCCATTTTCCAAATGAGAAAAATGGGGGTCGGAAGGGTTATGTCTGAGCCGTGTTGCCACAGCCAGGAAGAAGAAGAAGAGCTGGCATGTGAACTCAGCCTCTCCTCTTCTGCCCACGCCTCCAGTGCTTCTCAACCTTCGCTGGGTATCAGAATCACAGAATCACTTGGAGATCTTCAAAAAATCTGGAGGCCTGACTGCCACTCCCAGACACTCTGATTTAACTGGTCTGGCTGTGACTTGGGCTTTGGGGTTGTTAAGAGGTGATTTCACTGTGCTGTGAAACGGGGGATCCCCTGCACTATTCCCTCCAGCCTGAGACTCAGGCTCAGCTCACAACCCTTGGGCTAGCCTGAGGGGGCTTCTGTTTTCACAGCCTGTGCTCTGGGAAGGACAGCAGGGAGGAGGAGAAGAAGACAGTGGAGTCCAAAGAGCTGGAGGGACAGTCGGAGTTCGTTTCGCCAAAGGAAGGTGAGCCCTGCTGGTGAACCCAGTTCCCTTCAGAACCTGGTCTTCGTGGAGGTCGAGCTGGTCCCTCACCTCCAGAGCTCCCCTAGAGACTCAATCAGGAAAGGTCAGGTGGAGAAAGGACCTGTGGGGTCTTCTCAACCCCCTCACTTTTTAGAGGGTCCAGACAGGGGCAAGACTTTTGATTTGTTTCTGTTTTCTGTCCCTCTTTTCTTTCTCTCATGTTATTATCACACTAACCCCTGAATTCCATCTTCCATCATTTTCCTTCCTGTCCCCTGACTCTTCAGTCCTAAGTCTGCCTTATTTGTCCCCATTTCTGCAGGTCTCCTGGGTCTGCCCTCTCACTGTTCCATTTCCATCACCGCCTCTGTTGCCTCCTCATCTCTTTTGGGTCTTTGGTTACAAACATCACAAACCACTGCTTGCTGAGGTAGAAACAAGAACGGGATTCTGGGAAGCTCAGAAAATAAGGGAAAAATGAACTTTCCAGGCTCCAGGATGAGCAGAACCAGGATACGTCTGGGGGTCCCCGTCGAAGGTCACAACCAGTCTGCCTCTCTAGGGAGAACGATCGGATTGGGTGACCTTGGCTGAGGAAGAGAACACCTAATTCACAGGCCCACCTGGACCATGAAGAAAAGGGCAGGGGAACATTTCCAGAAGAAACCAAGATCCTGGTACCGAGCAAACGGGGAGGCAGAGCTGCTGAGACAACAGCTGTCTGCCACTAACCCTCATCTCATGTCTAACTTTCTCTTCTCCTTGTCTTTTTTTTCACCAACCTGGCCGAGAAAGATCTGGATTGTGTTAGCGCAAGAAGTGTCATTAGAATCATGCTGTGAAAGAGAGATCAGATTTCAGTCGATGAGAAGAACATGGGGAGGGTCGTTCAAGGTGTTAGGGCCAGGATGACAAAGGCATAGAGGTGAGCATGTGCCACTTGTGGGCAGCTCGGAGAGCATGCCAGATGAGTTCTGGGAGGTAAGAATAGAAGGTGAACGTGGACCTCAAGCTGTTCCATTAAGGCCTCGACACTGTTGTTCACCCCAGTGTTCCACTTTCCTTATAATTCATGCCCAGATCCTCCCTTCTCCATCAGAGTTCCCAGATCCAGGGCTGCAGAAGGAGCTCTGCTCTTTCTGGAGCTACGCTTTCTCTCAGCGCTTTGCCTGGCACCGGATGTGGCTGTCTTTGATACAATTGTGGCATTATCTCTTTATCAGTACCCTCAACTCTCTGCTCACCACCTTGGCCAAGGGAGACAGGGCACTAGGTATGTGGTGGGGCTGGTAGGCATCCCATCTGTGCATCCCAGCTGGGGACTTGGAACCTAGAAGGGTGTGGGGTGCTAAGCCCAGTAGGGCTATGTGCTCCAGAGAAAGGTCTGAGCAGTGATGTGGGGAGGATGATCAGGCAGGGCAGGGTGGGTGGCTCCCCTCCTGTAAGGCAGTCCTGGAAATTTCTTATCTCTCAAGCCTTTTCTGCCCTCTGCAGACAGCATCTACACAAATGCCTTTGCCATCACTCAGTTCTTTGGAGTGCTCTGTGCCCCCTGGAATGGCCTGCTCATGGAAAAGCTTAAACAGAGGTACCAGAAGAAAGGGAGCAAGACAGGTGAGACCTGGGCTCGGGAGCATCAGGGAACCAGGAGAGGAGAGATCTTCATTTACCTGTCTGCCCATCTTCTCTTTCGTTCTTAATCTTTTTCTACTTGCATCCATCCGTCTATCCCTCCATTCCTCCATCCATCTATCCATCTGTCTGTCTAACCACTAGTCACTGAGTGGCAAATATGGGCCAGACATAGATCCAGATTCAACAACGGACAAGACAGATATGTCGTTGTTCTCAGTCTAGAGAGTGGAGAAAGGCAAGTCATTAGGCATTACAATCCATGAAGGAAACCCACAGGGGGCTGTGGGGACACAATAAGGGCACACAGCCTGTTCCAGATGAGGATGAGATCGGTGTATGGGAAGGCTTCCTGGAGAAAGTGGCATCTAAGCTGAAACCTGAAGGATGAGTCAGAAGTGAGGAGATGAAGAGGAGGGCCCCGGGAGAGTGGCCCAAGAATACGGTGGGCTGAAGGTGGGGTCAAGGTTGTGAAGGAGAGAGGGAAACCTTGAGGAATCCGAGGAATCCCTTCAAGTGATTCAAGGACTGGCCGGTGGTGTAGTGGTTAAGTTCAGCACTCTCTGCTCTGGTGGCCCAGGTTCGTTGGTTTGGATCCCAGGTGCAGACCTACACCACTCATCAGCCATGCTGCGGTGGCAACCCACATACAAAATAGAGGAAGATTGGCACAGATGTTAGCTCAGGGTGAATCTTCCTCAGCAAAAATAAAAATAAAAAAAGGTAATTCAGGCTGGCCAGGGTACAAAGGAGTATGGAAGGGGCTGGAGAGAGAGCCGTGAGAAGGGGCAGGCTGTGTCTCATGCCAAGAAGATTTCACAAGCTCCTTGGACATAAGTCGAGGAACAGAGGGGTGCTGAGGTATTTTAACCTGCAGGGCTTGGGGATGGGGAGGGACAAAAGTAGAGAGTAACATTTCTCCTATGACTTTCATCTACACCCCTCCCTGACTCCCCTGCCCTGCTTCTCCTACCCTGCTGGAGTATTCTACAGCAAATCTCAGTCATCAAACCATTTCATCTGTAAATACTTCAGGTTGTAGCTCTAACAGATAAGCCCTCTTTTACTTGAATATCACCATAGTATCATTATCACATCTACAAAAAACCCTCAGTGATTTCTTAATATCATCTACTACGCACTCTGCTCAAATTTCCCTAATTGTCTTAAATATGTCTTTTTACAGTTCATTTGTTGAAATTAAGAGCCACACAGTATATTTTTTTGATGTGCCTTTTATGTCTTTTTAAACGTATAAGCGTCGTCTCCCACACGCTTTTTGTCCTTGTTTATTTGTTGAAGAAATGGGGTGGTTTGCTCTGTCACATTTCCCACATTTTGGATTTGGCATTCTTTTGGTGTCATTTAAAATGTTTCTTTGGGTATTTCCTGTAAACACACAGGTTGGAAGCTCAAGGAGACTCAGTTTAATATTTTTGGCAAGAATAATTTAGAGGTGGAGCTGTGGGCTTCCTAAGGGCTCCCGTCAGCAGGCCCCTGGTACCTATTGTCCTGTTCTTATCATGATAAGATTGATCAATGGGCTCAGACTTTGTCAGTCTCATCCCGTTATTATAAAGTTTCCCATCGACTGTGCGCCTGACGATTGTAGCAGCCGTTGATAATCAATGCCTAGGCCCAGTATTTTATTAGCCTTGCAAACTGGTGATTTCCTATTTCCGTCTTTCCTTCTGCTTTCAACAGTGAGAATTCCTTTAGAAAGAAAAACTTCCCCTTATTAACTATTTTGTTACCCTGGCATAAATGCTTGGTTTTTCTTCTTTTCACCAATTTTGAGAATAATGATGTGATGCCCTAGCAACCTCCAGGGGTGACTACTCATTGTTTCTCTTTCAAAGTCTCATTTTCAATATACTTGATGTGTTTCAATCCATTTTCACCACGATTCCTTTTGATGTTCAAACTGCCACATCTTTGGCCATTGGGAACTTTACCAATCCAGTATCTGTGTCCTTTAGACATCATCCCATTAGTTTTAGAGTGTGTCTTTAGTTTCTAGCACAATGAGATATTCACATCCATCTGATCAGGTATGTTTCCTATCCCAGACCTGAAACCAGCCGTTCTCCAAGTAACGCTGGGTCCCTTTAATGGGAAATGGTATTTAAAGACTGTAGTCTGCATGATGGCATTTCTAATTTTCCTGGGTTGTCATTGCTTTTGGGCTTTGGATAGAGTTAAAGCATACATAATTTTTTGGAAGAAAAAATACATCATGAATGCCTAATAACGATACTTTAATTCAAATTTTACTTCCTTAATTTTACATTCGTATCTCTTTTTCTCTTCCTCTGAAAATCTTGGTTCCTAACAATACTATACAGACACACACATGTATAGTATTTTTAAAGTATGTTTTATATATTATCAGTGGTTTTAGCAATGTTGATACTATTAATAAAAATACTGTGGCTGAATGCTGTGCCTCTCTGTCTCTGTCCTTCCATCCTTCCGTCCTTCCTTCCATTCTCCTCCTTAGCATATATCCCACAGGAGGATGTACAGTCAAATCACTGTTTTAAGAATCACCAACTTGACATAAAGTTGTGTTCATTGGCTTCATTTTGTTCCTGATTTTGGAGGGTTGCTTTGCTTGTTCTCTTCCTATTATTTTATTTTAATTGAATTTTTAAACATTTGTATATCAAACATTTACATTTTCCCAAAGCCAAAACCATGAAACAATATACATTCAAAGAAGCTTCGTTTCCTCTCTGTTCCCTCCACCCTATTCATTCCCTGTATCTTTAGGCAATGATTTTTTTC